ATTTTGGCATAAAGTATTTTTGGGAGTTAACCATCCAGCTCTTGCACCAGTTAGATATTTTTTATCAACTGGAGGAGTTACATAGGTATATTCTATTGGTGTAGAACGGGCATATATAATTGGAGGTGATGCGATAAAAGAAGGCGGTATTGAAGAGGAAGAATGTTGAGTAGAACCAATTGAACGATGGTCAATAATTTCAAGCTCTATCTGATTAGTAGTTTGTTTTCTGGAAGGACTGATTAAAATTAAAAGAGACAAGAATAATTTAGTTAATAATAATAATAATAATAATATAATTGAGAAAATAAATGAAGGAGATATTATACCTGAAACAAATAAAACCAAGTATTTTTGTCCAGAGTTCACCATATTTTTCAGTAGCGAATTCGCCGGTTCCGAAGCATAATAAAAATAAAATCATACTTAAACACATATGTAAAGTAGTTCCGTTTCTACTCCAAAAGGGAAAATCAAGTATTCTGATATCATTATCATATAAAACGTAATGAATATTCTCTATAAATATTATTGTGGCCATAGGTATTCCTGAGATAATTAATAGGCAACACCATGAAGCCATACGGAGAAGGACATTACGTGGAATAGTGGGTTTTATGGAAGACGCGGTTTTTGGAGGTGGGCCTGCACGCGTGCTGCGCTGCGGACTAGGGGAAGAGGAAACTTTGGATTGCCAAGGAAGTGCGAATGATTCATGAAGACGATAGGTACGGTAAACCTTTCTAACGACAGGAATTACAGTAATAACTTTAATTTGTAATATATATATATATGTTAATATTAACAAATAATAATAATAATTTAAAATTTAAAATATAATAAAAGTAGAATTACCGGATAAAACACATGAAGGATAAATTGGTAAGAACTCGGGAACAGTTCTAAAAATAAATAAAAGAAGTCTATAATCGCTATGTCGAGAGACAGAGCAAATGCCACCGGTATCGACCACCTCAAACAAAGGATTATGATGTAAAGCCAATATTATTAAACTCAACGTTATGCTTATAATTGGCAGCACAACAGTCATAACAATATTAAGCCTCCGTATTTTGACATCATTTCTTTTTGTGACAGAGGAAGCAAGGCTTAAACAAACATATAGTTCTGTTGATAGAGCCAAAGCTACTCCATAATTTGACACGGAAGATAAAGATATTAAGAAGCCACTGATACCACACCAGGCATAACTAAAAGGAGTGGCAGTTGAGAGGCTAAAATCGTTTGGAAGAAATAAGCCAGCAAGGACGAAGGCGATGGCCATTACAGAGTTAGAGATGCTATACCATATTAGAATTTGAGCGCGACGTTTAACTTGAACATAAATATTTTGCAAGCATAAAATCGAAATTATTATGCATGCGAAGAGCATGAAAGGTTCCATTTATTAATATAAATGTTAACGCGACAGGTTGGACGTGTCAACGTTATTTAATGATTAACATAAATAAAATTGTTTTAATAATAAAATGAAAGATGGCAATATAAGGAAAACAATAAAAAAAAAAAAAAAAGGTTCCTTAAAAAACAATTCGAAAACGTTTATCCTTACGAAACCGTAAGACCAATTAGGGATTAATCATATACACAATAACGATAAAGAGCGGTATTAAAGACAATGGAGTGTATAATGAAACTTTAGTAGCGCGCCAAAATCAAAGTTCATAAGGTCCAACAAAAAATATGATCGTTATAACAAGAACAGAGAAATAAATAAGTTAATCTATAAAAACTACGTATTAAGAAACATAAGTGACACGAATAATAAATAAATGCTGATAAGAGTATGTTATATATGATGATAAAGCAACCGTACATTTTAAGAAAATTGTGAAACATCAAAACCTAATTCAATTTAACTCCAAAATGAATGTTATATGCGTGATCGTGTTCCCGCCATCTTTAATTTTGGTTGTTTTGTCCGGCCAGCGATACACAATAGTAAATATAAAGGAATCCAAGGATACAGATCTATTTTTAAGTCCGTTAATTTTCTGCAAGTCATGATATACAGAAAATATACTCACATAAAAAAGGGTTTATTCAAAATCTAAAATTCGATGTGGGAAATCCAAATTAAACTCATTGTTCATGTTAAAAAAAACTTATTTTAAAAAAAAGATTTTCTTACTAAGGATGACCAAGCATTCAAGAATAACTGAAAGTTTAGACCAGGAATTTTTTTGTTACACTTGCAATTGTAAACTAGACAGATAAGATTAGATTTATAGATTTAAAAGGTATGCAAAAGATAAGAAAGTTTTGTTTTTCCTTTTAAAAAAAAAGAAAATTAGGTTATGATTATTTTGATGTCATCATGTTGTTTTAAAAACATTTGAATTCAGTGCCAATGAAGAAGTTTGACATTATCTTTGGATATCGATATATGCTAAATATTTGCAAATTTAAAGTATTGATCGAATAGATTTCATGGTAGTTATCTTACAAATAATTCCAATAAATCGAACGAACCCATTAAAGGGAATTACCACTATCTTTCATATATCGATGTTTATTCAATATATGCTAATTTTGGGAATTGTTTGTCGTAATTAAACATATAGTTTGCATAAAGTGGCAACCGTAAACTTACGTTTTTTCTGTCAATCTTATTTCGGCTGTACTTTGTGTACAATGATAGAGAATTATCCGTGTGGAATTTTGATAAGAATTGTTTCTAAATCAGTAAATATGCATAATGAAATGTTTAATAGTAACGATAATATTTGGACACTCATATGTTCAACAGTAGATCATTTTAATTATCTTGGATTAAATAATCATTGTTGAAGATTATATAGATTATATTTAACTCTTTATATTATTATTAATGGTAAGCTAATCTACATAGAATCTACATAGAATCTACATAGAATCTACATATAATCTACATACCGATACGTAATATACATAGGATGTATATAATTAGTAGTCATAGATTTTATTTCATTTATTTTGGTAACTGAATTATCATTGTTGTTTATACAGTATCTACTAATACTTCTAATTAGCAGTTAACCTGAGCAATCTTAACAGAGCGACAGTGCATGTTGTTTTTTTATTAATTTTATTGGTTTTATTATTAATATAAAAAATTATTATACATACAGTATCTTGCGTATCTTACCGAGGGAATAAACCACTTTTGTACATCATTTATGTATATCACTTAATTTTATTAGTGCTTTTTTCGGCTTTTCTTGGCGATACGTATATTATATACGTATCGATAAATCCCTTTGTTGGATTTTGACTGGTTGGCTGTGTTTATTTGTTAATTATGTAACTTTTGCAAGTATATATTTCGACAAATGTAATAACAACATAAATGTAATTTTGATACTGATATTATGTGTACGTAGCGAGTATCTAAATAACAGTTTTATTTAACAGGTGTCCGTAAGATCACAGTATAGTACAGTCCAACCTTTCTATAATCACCTCCTCTATAGTCATATTTGCTTATAATTACATAAATTTTTAAAATCAACTTATATAACACATAAAATTTAACCTCTATATAAGCCCAAACTTTCTATACGCACCAAATTTTTCAAACCAAGGGTGTGATTATAGAGAGGTTTGATTGTATATCATTTCATATGACAAACAGAAGCATATTACCGTTACTATGAAGTATATTTGCTATGAATATAATGCGCTAACCTGTTCCTGAAGGAGCCCACAGCCAGATGCAGCTAATTACAAATAACTGATTAACCTGTGTCCTGAAGGAGCCCACAGCCAGATGCAGCTAATTACAAATAACTGATTAACCTGTGTCCTGAAGGAGCCCACAGCCAGATGCAGCTAATTACAAATAACTGATAAATCACTTGAGCGGGTATATAGTAAAGTAGTACGGTACGGAAACGTAAATTAGGACGGACGTGTAGAAATTATGATAGTACGTACGGT